TATATTTTATTTAGAGAATTATATTAAACAATTAAAGAAATACTATGTAGCCATTAAAAGGGACTCAGACTTTCTGGACTAAAAGATGTTCAAGGGACCTCAAAGTTTTTTAATTAAAAAACAAACAAACAAAGGGCACCTGGCTGGCTCAGTCACTATAGCATGTGACCCCTGATCTCAGGTACATGAGTTCCACCCCCCTATAGGGATTACTTAAAAAAATTAAAAATATAAACAAAAAACACAAATTGTAGTACAGAATGTAGGGTATGATCTCCCTTTTTTGGTTTGGTTTGTTTTGCTAGTTTTAAAGAGCTATATGTTTGTGTTTGCCTAGAAATTTTCTAGAAGGACAATCTCTAGCCAAGAGACAAGAAATGTCTAGTTTTAACTTTGAGGATTAGAAATAGAAAGGAAAGCTTTCCCTTTACTCACTCATTTGTATTTAAGCTTAACTGGTAAGTATGTTATTTTTATAGTAGAGAAAGGGGTGCCTGGGGTGGCTCAGTCAGATGGGCATCTGACTCTTGATTTCTGCTCAGGTCACGATCTCACGGTTCGTCAAGTAAAGCCCTGCCTCAGCCTCTGTGCTGACAGCTAACAGCATGTAGCCTGTTTAGGCTTCTCTCTCTCTCTCTCTCTCTCTCTCTCTGCCCCTCTCCTGTTTACGCTCTCTCAAAATAAACATTTGTAATAGAGAAAAAGAGAAAAAAAATAATGTTCCTGTTGTAATCTAATGTCCACCCAACCTATCTTACAGTCATCTCTGCCTAAATCTCTTACTTGTCAATTAATCTCCCTCTCCACTGGAATAGGCCTTGTGCTTATCCTTATTTGCCTCTGCTTACGCATTTACTATACCCAAAGGAATTTTTCTTCCCTATAGAATTCTTTTTTTCTAAATGTTTTATTTATTTTTGAGAGAATGCAAGCAGGAGAGGGGCATAGAGGGGACAGAGGACCTAATGTGGGCTCTGTGCTGACAGCAGCGAGCCAGATGTGGGGCTTGAACTCATGAAACCTGAGATCACGACCTGAGCCGAAGTTGTACGCTCAACTGGCTGAGCCTCCCAGAGGACCCTCTTCCCTTAAAATTCTGCTCAGCTAGGCATAGGAGCACATGTACCCCAATGTTCATAGCAGCACTCTCCACAATAGCTAAAACATGGAAAGAGCCTAAGTGTCCATCAACAGATGAATGGATCAAGAAGATGTGGTTTATCTATACCATGGAATACTACATGGCAATGAGAAATTATGAAATCTGGCCATGTGTAGCAACATGGATGGACCTTGAGGGTGTTATGCTGAGCGAAATAAGTCAGGCAGAGAAGGACAAATACCATATGTTTGCACGTATAGGAGGATTAGGAGGAACTTGACGGAGGAACAGTGGGGAGAAGAAGGGCGGAAATGGTGGGGGAAAGGGAGAGAGGCAGACCATGAGAGACTCTTGAATGCTGACAAAAACTGAGGACTGATGGATGTGGGGGGGAGGGGGGAATGGGCATGGAGGAGGACACTTGTGGGGATGAGCACTGAGTGTTATGTGGAAACTAATTTGACAATAAACTATTTAAAAAAAAAATTCTGCTCAGCTTTACACCTCTGGGTCTCTTTTTTTTCCCCCATTTTTTTTTAACATTTATTTTATTTTTGGGAGAGAGAGACAGAGCATTAGTGGAGTAGGGGCAAGGAGAGGCAGACACAGAATCTGAAACAGGCTCCAGGTTCTGAGCTCTCAGCACAGAGCCCGACATGGGGCTCAAACCCACAAACTGCAAGATCATGACCTGATCCAAAGTCGGACACTCAACCAACTGAGCCTCCCAGGGGCCTCTCTTCCCTTAGAATTCTGCTTAGCTTTCCATCTCTGCATCTCTTCAATCCTGCCAGACCACAGTCATCTTGGCTCCTCTGAACTCAGAGCTCCAAACCAGGCATTTCTGTGGTACCTGCTGCTCATACCATCCACTCTCCGTGAGGGCAGTGGCTGTATCCCACTTTTCTCTAGCAGTCATCGTTGCTGACACAGCACTTTTTCACATAGATGCTCAGTATAGATGAACCATGGCTAACCTGAAGCACTTCAATTCTATATTCAAGATTTAACTATGTTCAGTTATTCTAAGGCAAGAAAATGAATACATGTTCAATGGATTTTCAGCAACAAAATGAATTCTTTTTTTTTTCTAAGATTTTATTTTTAAGTAATCTCTACACCCAGCACAGGGCTCAAACTCACAACCCCAAGATCAAGAGCGGCAGGCTCCACCAACTGAGCCAGCCAGGTTCCCCAACAAAAGGAATTTCTATTCAAACCACACTTGCTCTAGAATTCTACTAGAGTATAACCAGATCAACTCACTTCTGGCATTTTCTTGTTACTTAAGGCTTTACTGTTTGATATTTGACTTCCCTGGCACTGAAAGGTCATTCGTTTAAAGGCAAGCATATAACAAACTTCACATACAAGATTAAAATGAGCGGTGAAGTTTTGCTAAGACATTCAGCTTTCTTTATTACTCTTCATTCCCTAAATATTCCCACTTCTTATAAGAAATAAACAGCTGGATAAAAATCTTAGCTTTCTTTCCTGTTTAATTGACCCTTCAATCAAATTTTTTACAAATATCTGAAAGTAACACACACTCTGTTCTTTGGTTTAGCATTTTTGTTCTTTGGTTTAGCGTTCTTTTTTTCTTTAAGTTTAATCCTATTAGTGTAAGTACAAACCCCATGCTAATAATCAACTTTTTCATACTGTTTCCTAAAAGCTTAATTATTTGAGATCTTTCCATTTCACTAGGAAAGGAGGTAACCAAAGTATTCTTTTCTAGCCCTAAATTACCATTTATTCCAACATCGCACTGGATTACTCTAGAATCCATTTCCATACAGTATTACCCATGGTCTACACAGTGTAGTCTTCTAGAGAGGGCTATTTACATTAAGACCAAGGGCTAATGTGGTCTGCCAAGCTTCTTTATAATGTGGAAATGATCCGCTACCTACCTTTCACATGTGCACAGTCTGTTACTGTGTCTGAATTTCTATATAGGAAAGGCAGAGGGTTGGCAATCTTGTTGAAAGGGAAAGCACCAGCAGACAGGGGCTGTAGCTAGGTTTGCACAGCAACTAAGCTGATTTTACTTAGATTGTGGCTTATGAGACAGTAAGAATAACCAATTTTAGTAAGGACACTTCTTTCACAATTGACGTGACTTTATTATTTGGAAGTAAGTAACTAGGGAAGGTGTTGCTAATAGAAATTAAAGTAGGATTATTTGTGCTGACCGCCCCCCCCCCTTTACCACCAACACCCTTTTTCACCTACCCCTCGGCACTGCCACTGGGTACAGATCACTGAAAGGTGGCAAGATGTTTCTGGATTTGTGTTAAGAGCCTTACTGCAGTGAAAGAGTTACAGCTATGATATAATAACATCTTTTCATGGTACCAAGTAGCCCTGTCTGGTGGAGAGAGTGCTAAGCAGGAATGAGGTCAGAAACCAGGGAAGTTAAATTTCTCTCTTCTACCTACTTTCTCCTTAATCCCTAGAGGAATGAGTGAGAGAGTAAAAGTGAAAACAAAGTAAAAAGAACAGCTGTGGAGAGCAGCTGTCAGATTGCTAGGGTGGTTTTTACAGATTCCAACACAGAACTGAAAAAGATTTGGACCACCACTTTGGTATTGTGACGAATCCCAGTGTCTACGTGGAAAAGTAGCAGGAATACATCAGAGTCATAGTACAGTTAGCTTGGTCACAAAGATTCATTTATTCCAATTTTTTAAATGTTTATTTATTTATTCTGAGATAGAGAAAGAGGGAGGGAGGGGCCAAAAGACAGAGAGAGAGAGAGAGAGAATCCAAAGCAGGTTCTGCCCTGTCAGCACAGAGCAGGGCTCAAACCCACGAACCATGAGATCATGATCTAAGCTGAAATCAAGAGTCAGATGCTTGACTGACTGAGCCACCCAGGGACCCCTATTCCAAGTTTGATATGGTCACTATAATCTCAAATTATCCACACTCAGCTTGGTTTAAGGTGGGGGTGCGGGGGACCTCACTGTATGTTCATCACCTATTATCTCATTTTGCCCTTAGTTCTCTCTCAACATACACGTAATCACACATCCTAGCATTCCTCCATACCCAGGACTCACTAACTCCATACAAAGAAATTGCAAAGAAGAATATTTAGGGACAATAAAATACTGGTGGCTGAGCCTATCAGAGATATATGAACACTGATCCTCAGGTTGATTTCTAGTTAAACATAGATGACAGTAGTTGTATATTACCTCTCCTTCCTAAAGCCCAAATAAAACAGTAGTAAAGGAATTTTTTTAAAAGGTATGAATCCACAGGATAAAGAATGGAAAAGAAGACTGTAGTAAAAAAGAGAGAAACAGAGAGGACAGCAGGTATTGTTTTTGGAATATTGCTGAGAAAGCCAGGAAAGCCACAGCACAGTTTTGTGTCTGTAAAGGTATCAAACCAGAAGTGAATGAAGGGCCCTGAAGGACCCCAGAGAGATGCCCAGAGATACTTAGGTGCAGCAGAAGACAAGGCTGAGACCCCAAATGGTAATATGATTAAAAGTCTGATAAAAGTGCAGTGGAATTAGACCCCTGCTCAGGTTTCCTTTCCCACTGCCCACTGTTAGTAAACAACCCTTAAACATGGGGGCTGGACTGAATGCACCCTCCAGTCCTTTCTATGCTCTACAGAGAGGTATGAACTAAGACTTCTATGATGTGCCAGTGGGAACAGGCGTGGAAGGTGGGGGAGAAAGGCAGTGACAGGTGAGAAGAAAAGGCATTTGTGTTTCAGGTCCTAGAAATATGTTTGTCTCTGTGACTATAAATTTTACATTGCAACATGACTTCCAAGTTAGATCCACACTGGTCAAGGAAGCAAGCCTTATGAGATTCTTGCCAGATTAAGGACAGGTCCTACCAATCTGTTTTCTTATTCACCATACAGTCATACTTACCTCGCAAGTTTGCTAAGGCCAAGGACTTGCTTGTTAGGAAGATAGCCAATATGGACCTTCAAAGAAGAGAGAGAAATCATGAGTTAACTGAAAATCCAATGCGTCTTTGTAACAAAATAAGGAAATAAGGAAATAGAAGACGGTATACGTATTATGTAATTTAACATGATGAAAATGTATCCTTAAAAAATCTAGAAGTTTTGGGGTGCCTGGGTGACTTAGTTGGTTAAGTACCCAACTCTTGATTTCAGCTCAGGTCATGATTTCATGATCATAAGATCAAGCCCCACGTCAGGCTCTGCACTGAGCATGGAGCCTGCTTGGGATTCTCTCTCACCCTCTCTCTCTCTGCCCCTCCTCCACTCATTCTCTCTCTCTCTCTCTTTCTCTCTCTCAAAATAAGTAAACTTTAAAATATCTAGAAGCTTTAAGACTTAGAAAATGAAGGACTAACAAAAGCATTTAGAAAATTACAGATGTTCAGGAAAAGGAAAATATATGAATGACTATTAATGAAATGACAAATTTGAAATATAGTCTTGGTATTTCCTGGTAAAGTTAAACTCTTGATACACTTCTTCCAGTCTTTCTTCTATTAAGGGGACACTCTCTCAAGACAGTGCAAATTATCCTGTAGCAACATTAAAATGTAGCCAGGAAAGCTTCCTTTAAATGGCTGAAACTGTCACTGTAAATATTACCATTCTACACATCATGGTAGCCTTAAAAATGCCACCCCACTGCACAGAAAGAGGGTCTCCGTGCCCTTTAACATGGTTGGTGGCCCCATTTCTAAGCTGCTGGAGAATACTATCTTCCTTATGGGAGATAAAGGACACAGCTACAAATGTGACTTGTCCAAACCTGGACCTTAAGATCTAAGTTCTTATAGGACCTACTATGAGGCCAAGTCAATTCCATAATCTTACAAGACACTGACTAACATCTAATATGTCCATGTTACCTCTCTTTGAGCCAAGTATTAAATCATGGGAAGACATTAGTTCTACAAAAGGCTAATAAGTAAATGGTCATTTGCAGGCAATCAATTAACCTAATATAAAAGTATAGAGTCATTTGCATCATGGTTTGCTAGCATTTGCTCACCTAATTAATATTTACTGTCCATGTGAATAATTGATCTAGTAGCAATTAGTGATTTTTCATCTATTAGCACTGTGCTTTGGGAGTTTGAGAATACCTATTCATCACCTTCCTTGTCAGCAGAAGGAGAAAGTAAAGTAGCACTTGAACACTGAGTATTTCAAAGAAAAATGAGAGTTAAAACCTTCCCACAGAGCTAAGATCTTCTGTACCACTTGAAATTTTTTACTTATATGCAGAGCTATAATTTGTTTATTGTTTGTACTATTTTTGATCTTTCTGAAGATCCTAAATCATTTAAATGTCGATTTTAGAGAAACATTGCTGAACAACAGATTTTTTAAGAAGCTTGCAAGAACACAAACACAGAGATAATCATAGCAGAAGGTAAGAGGATATAGTGAGAGGCTGGGCACAGATCAAGTTCCTAGGTCTAGCCCCAGCCAAAATCACTAACTTCCTCTGTCTTCTTGGACAAAGCCTATGTGTTCTGGCCCAAATTCATCACCTACAATAAAAGGTAGTAACATAAGCTCAAAGGTTCCCTCCTTCTTGAAAATCCTGAGCCCTTACATGGGTGATGTGTATTAAGGAGGGCACTTTTTGTGATGAGCACCAGCTGTTAGAGGCAAGTGATGAATCACTAAATTCTACTCCTGAAACCAATTTACCCTATGTTGACTAACTAGAATTTAAATAAAAAATTGGAAATTAATTAATTAATTTCTGGCAAAACAAAACAACATAAAAAGAAAATCCTGAGCCCTAATGTTAGAGACCAGCATCATCAATTGTGGGAGTGGCACTCAGTGCATGCCTCCTGAAGAGATGGGAGTGTGGAGTCTTTGGTGTTCTCATGAAGTGCTCTTGTCAAAAATATTTAGCCTCAATCTTAGGAAGTTTTAGATCTAAACCTTTATAGGAAATCCAGAGGTTGAAAGAACAAATCCAGAAGGTGGGACACTCTGCAGGACAATGGCCCAGTCTCTTTAATATGAGAAGGGGGAACTATTTTAGGACAAGAGACTTAAAAGGCATAACAACCAAAAGTAATAAATGCATGACTCTTAATTGGATCCTGGTTTGTTTGTTGTTTGTTTGTTTAAGAAGATTTTATTCTTTTTTTTTTTAATGTTTTATTTATTTCTAGGAGAGAGAGAGAGAGAGAGAGACAGCGTGAGCAGGAGAGGGTCAGAGAGAGAGGGAGTCACAGACTGAAACAGGCTCCAGGCTCTGAGCTGGCAGCACAGAGCGCGACGCGGGGCTCGAACCCACGAACCGCGAGATCATGACCTAAGCGAAAGTCGGACGCTTAACCAACTAAGCCACCCAGGTGCCCCAAGAAGATTTTATTCTTAAGTAATCTCTCCACCCAACTTGGGGCTTGAACCCACAACCCCAAGATCAAGAGTCACATGCTGTCCCGACTGAGCCAGCCAGGTGCCCTTGGATTCTGGCTGAAACAAACCAATAGTAAGACAGTTGAGACAACTGCAGAAATATAAATATGGGTCAGTTATTAGATGCTATTTAGGAATTACTATTAATTTTGTTTATGTTAGTGTTACTATGGATAAGAAAACGTGTATTAATAATTAGTGATAAAGAGTCATGCTGTCTATAACATACTTTATATTCCTTAATATATGTTGAAGGATTTACTACTAGCTTTTTAGGCTGATAATCAAATCGGAATTATGTTTTTTTTTTTTAAATCCTTATCTTTAAGAGACACATACTGGAAGAAATTATGGAAAAAAATAATAGGATATCTAGGATTTGCTCCAAAATAGTCCTGTGGGGACCTATATATATAACAAGATTTGTCCTTTATCAATAATTGTTGATGTTGGTTTTAGGAAACGTGGAACTTTATCAGACTAGTCTTTCTATTCTTACATATGTTTGAGATTTTCTATAACAAAAGGTTTAAAAAATGGAGACGCCACTATAACACATCAGAATACTAAACTTAAAAAGACTTAAAGCACCAAGTGTTGGCAAGAATATGAAGTGACTGGGTTCATCTGGGAGTATATCAAGTGTAAAATGGTACAACTACTTTGCAAAACCAGAAATCAGTGTCTATTAAATCGAACATGGGTATACTTTATAACCCTGCAAGTCCACTCCTAGGCATATTCTTAATAGAAATGCTGGCATATATGCACCAAAAGAATGCTGGAAGCAGTACTGTTTGTAACAGAGGAAAAAAAGTGAAAGAGAGAAAGAGGAAACAATACACCCGCCATGAACAGAATACATTGTGATATGTTTGTACACTAAAACAATACATAGCAATGAAAATAAACTACAATGACATCAGTAAGTTTCATTTATTTTTAATGTTTTTATTTTATTTATTTATTTATTTTTTTTTTTGAGAGAGAGAAAGACAGAGCATGAGTGGAGGAGGGGCCGAGAGAGAGGCAGACACAGAATTTGTAGCAGGTCCTCTGTGCTGACAGCTCAGAGCCTGACGTGGGGCTCCAGCCCACAAAGTGTGAGACTGTGACCGGAGCTTGACAGACTGAGCCACCCAGGCACTCCAATATCAATAGCTTTTAAAGTGCGGAGCCAAAAAAAAGATAAAAAAGATTTCATGCTGATAATTTCCATTTATAAGTTGAAAAACAAGCAAAACTAATCTACAGTGTTTGAAATTGATATTCCAGTTACCTGTGGGGACAAAGGATGGGTTGGGGATTTAAAAGGGGCACAAGGTGAGCTTGCAGGATAGTAATAATGTTCTAGTTCTTGATCTGTGAGGTGGTAAGGAATACCTTATAATTTGTGTATTTTTCTGTGTTTCCCTTTATAAAAAAGTGAAAAAATAAAATGCTTTTTTATTTTGAGAGAGAGAGGGAGTGCAAGCACACTCAAGAGCAGGAGAAGGGCAAAGGTAGGGAACGGGAGGGAAGGGGAGAGGAGGAGAGAAAGAGAGAGAGCGTGAGCGAGCGTGCGCGAGCTGTAGGGAGCATGTGAGCACATACAAATCCCAAACAGGCTCCGTAGAGCTTGATCCCAGGACCCTGGGATCATGACCTGAGCCAAAATCAAGAGTTGTATGCTCAACCGACTGAGCCACCCAGGTGCCCCCAAAATTAAATATTTTAACAAAAAAATATGAAGCAAATGTTAACACATTAAAATTAGGGAATGGGTATATAGGTATTCATAATACTATTTCCTATGTCTTCTGTTTAAAAACTATTAATAAAAAGTCAAAATAAAATACAATTATAATGGGAGGGAGAGGACAGAACTACCCTTGGTCCTACGTCCACATTTTCAAAGGTATGTTTAAGTATGACAAGCTAGATAATATTATACAGCTTGCATTAGATCCGCTGTTCCTCATACAGAAAGGGTTGGAAACAAATGAAGTCCACTAATACTATGACCTCTGCCATATTATACAAAAGTACATCTTGGATCAAACATTATTTAGTCAAAATAAAAAGCAAAGGTTTTCAGAGTTTGCAGTAGCTACCTAAAAAAGAAAAGCTCATTATTTTAACCAATAACATGGTATTTACTATGAATGTTTTCCCTGAGGACTTCCGGCTACTTGGTTTTTGTTAATTTCAAGTTGTCAGGTTGATAAAGAGTAATTGTTTATGTATAATTCTAAATATCTGGGATATAAGGAATTAGCAGGTGATGATTTTAAATATAATAATCCTAATTTAAAAATATTTGTTGTATTTTAAAATTAACCAGAAACAGAAGAAAACCTTACCTTTCCAACAAACGGAACCAGATGATGTTCACACATGGAAAACATATCTATGTCCTTCACAATCACCATCTCATCATGATCTTCATCAAATATAGCATCGTTTAGGACATCTGAAATCAGAGGCTTACTTTAGTATCATTTCCAATTTTATAGAAAGATTCAGAGTAGGAAAACTAACAATCTCCCTGGATATAGATTGACAGTCAACAAAGACAAAATGTTAATCCTAGCTAAAATATTAAGGGAAAACAAAATAAAACTAGCTATCTTTCTCCCACCAAATTAGCAAAGTCTTTTTCTTTAAATGATGAGAAAAACCCTTAATAATATAATATTACATAACAAAGGCAGGATTACAAACAAATGTGTTTGCTGCATGAGAAAAGGAGAAAGGGAGAAATTATGCAAAACAAGAGTGGCTATTTCTGGTGATGAAAGGGAGCTGCTCTCCTTTTCTCCCTTATATTTTCTTGAACCCAATACTTTCTCTATAGTGGATGTGTAGAAAACCTTATCTGACTTCTGAGGCCAGAAGTCCTTAGCTGTCTAACCTCTGAGGCCAGATCCCGACACCCATAAACTCGGCATGTTATCTATCCCCCAAATAATTGTCTATTCTTATAAAATTTACTAATTCTTGAATGCAATCATCAGACTTATTCTAAACAGTTAACATTCTTCCCTAAGGAACTAACTGCTACAATTTTTATTTATATGCCTGCCCAGTTTAGCTTTTGACCTCTGGACTCTGACACATACAGCCAGGTATACAATAGACATTTAAAAACAAAAAAAGCTTTATTTTTTAAAAGTGCACTGATAGCTGGACATCTTGGCAGCCTACATACATTCAAGACTCCAAGCTGTAGGATTTCAAGGATCCAGAGGTACCCATCTGCATAGTACAATGAGACAGAGCGGGGAGGAGGTGAAGAGAGTTTTGCAGCCACCTACAGCTATTTCCCCTCAGAAAGCCGGGCTGTGCAGTGACTCACAGGGAAGAAGTGCAAATGTCCACCCACACAGCCTGACCTTCAGTGGCTCCGTTGTTGCTAGAATAGAGGCTCTCAGATATTGAGTCATCACTGAAGCACAGTTATCACCCCCTGAGTCAGGCTATTCCGAGACACATTTGATTGTGGAGTGGAAAAGTCATTAGCATGGTCAACAAACGTGAACATGCAGGGTTTAGACACACACACACACACAGGCACAACACTCCTGGTAGGAGAGGCTGATAAAATCCACAGAAGAAAAGGCTCAGTGTCATCCTTGAAGTAAATACTTCTCCAAAAAACAGTTTTCTATTCGGAATACTCTACCCTTCAGACATATTTCTGAAAGAAGTCTAAAAATAGACCCTGAGTGCTCCCCAAAGTGTCCTGGATTTCTCCAAGATTTTTAAGTAATATTACTGCCACACATAGCTTATTAAAATCCTTAGTTACACAAGAAAACCCTGAAAGTAAAACAAAACAAAATTATTTTTTAAAGAACAAAAGAGAATTATCAAAAAAGAAGGATTCATTTGTTCTCTCTGACAAAGAATGAGAGCATCCCCATTCTAAGCTCTGACAACTACCCTACGACACATGTTAAAAGCTGGTTAGGCTAAGTTAGAGTCAAGGTCCATTACTAACGAGCTGTTGAACCCTAGGCAAAGTATTCTTTGCCTCAATCTTCTAAGCTGTAAAATGGGCATGACTCTCTCTCTCTCTCCTAGAAATAAATAAAACATTAAAAAAAAAAACATGAATCATTAAAAAAAAAAAAAAAAGGGGCGCCTGGGTGGCTTAGTCGGTTAAGCGTCCGACTTTCTCTTTGGTCATGATCTCGCGGTTCGTGGGTTCGAGCCCCGCGTCGGGCTCTGTGCTGACTGCCAGCTCAGAGCCTGAAGCCTGTTTCAGTCTGTGACTCCCTCTCTCTCTGACCCTCCCCTGCTCACTCTGTCTCTCTCTCTCTCCTAGAAATAAATAAAACATTAAAAAAAATAAATAAATAAAATGGGCATGAAAAAGGTATCTACATTTTTCAGGGGTATCCTAAGCATTAAATGAGATAATCCACATGTGTTTAGAACTATGCAGGTGGATTAAGTAGTAGCTGTTATTACTGTTACTATAATTATGGTTGAGGCAGTTGGTAAACTATGTGTACCATGCACCCTAATATACATCAGAATTTGAAAAGCAATAATTTGCTTCTAAGAGACAGACTACAGAAAAGGAAAAATAGTAACTTTACAGTGAGGAAACCTGGTAAACCAAGTGATGCAGTTTAACTCTACCAGTAATAAGACATATTGATACCATGCAGCTCCTGGTAAAACATGATAAGGGCACGTCACCTCTGTGGTGTTCTTCACCAAAGTGTGTGACTATAGTCTAACTACCAGACAACAGAGGGACATTCTGCAAAATACCTCAACAAGTGCTCTTTTAAAAAGACATGGGGGAAGGGGGGCACATGGGTGGCACAGTTGGTTAAGGAAATGACTTGATTTTGGCTCAGGTCATGATCTCATGGTTCATGGGATCAAGCCCTGCATTGAACAATGTGCTAAGCATGGAACTTGCTTAGGATTCTCTCTCTTCCCCTCTCTCTCTCTCTCTGCCCCTCCCCAACTCATGCACACTTTCTCTCTCTCAAAGTAAGTAAATAAACATAAAGGAAAAAAGACATGGAAAGACTGGATTGTCACAGATTAAAGGAGACTAAAGAAACATGAAAACTAAATGCACTGGAAAAAACTAAAATCCACACAAAATCTATAGTTTAGTTAATAGTATTGTACCAATATTAATTTCTTAAATATTTTTAAAGTTTATTTATTTTGAGAGAGTGTGAGAATGTAAGCAGGGGAGGAGCAGAGAGAGAGGGTAAGAGAGGACCCCAAGCAGGCCCCGCACTGTCAGCACAGAGCGGGACATGGGGCTCGAACCCACACACTGTGAGATCATGACCTGGGCCAAAATCGAGGGTCAGACACATAGCCAACTGAGCCACCCAGGCATCCCCCAATATTAGTATCTTAAGAAATGATAACTACGCTATGGGCCATAGGAGATGTTAACATTTGAAGAAGCTGGGGCAAGGATATATAGAAACTCTCTGTACCATCTTTGTAAGTATACTGGTGAGTCTAATATTATTTCAAAAGAAAAACATTAAAAAAAAAAAAGGAATAGGACAATGACCATCAACTGGAATGTATAAACAATAGAGCACTACTCTGCAATAAAGTAGAATAACTACTTACTTATACATGTACTAATATGGCTGAGCCTCCAAAGAATTATATACATAGTGAAAGAAATCCTATGCATTCACACACAAAAAGTATGTGTGAAATTCTAGGAAAGAGAATTATAGAGGAAGCAGACAGATGATTTAGCAGGACCAGAGGGGTAAGAGGCCTGGCCACAAAAGGGTGGAAGAAAACTTTCCTGGGTGGTAGAAAGAGGCTATGCCTTCATTGTACTGGTGGTTGCACAGCTGCATGTATTTGTCAAAAATCAAACTGTACAAATAATGTTGTTGAATTTTATTGAATTTAACTTATCCCTCAATAGAGCTAACTTTCAAAAATAATCTTAAAATACTACAGAATAACATGCAGCCTTTTTTGTAAAGACAGTGGAAGGGGAAGATATGAACATAGATACGTATATATGCTTATCTTCAAAAAGAAACTAGAAGAATAATTCAAAAACTAATAAAAATGATTACCCATAAAGGACTAAGAGAGCAGGAGAGAGAAGGGATATTGATAGAAGTGAGACATCTTTAAATATAATTTGTTACATAGTTGACTCTGAAATCATGTAAATGTTTTATATACTTAAAATTAAACCAAAAAGAAAAAAAGAACAGTGACTCCCATAAGTCTTAATGGTTTGTGGTTCTGGAACAATATTATGTTGCCTATAACGCATTTCATGAAAGTGAACCCAGACTATAAACTTGACCTAGCCAAATCATTTTTCTTCAATAATGAAGTTTCCTTGCTATATTTATTTATGTTTTGCTCCAACGTATCTGAAAGCTACCATCTGTGGCTAATAAGAACAAAACACTATCACAGATTGTTTTAATTTCCTGCCTGTTATCAGCAGCAAGAAGGTAACCCTGGAAACAAGGATTTATGGTATTCTGTTTCCTACTGTTGGTCATAACCAACAAAGGAAACCGAAGGGGCCTCCAAAAGTTAAAGGTTTGTCTATTACAAGACCAAACAAAGAAAAATGTAAAAGTATACCTTGCTCGTGTCATTAACGATTAAGCAATGACAGCAAATAACACTGCTGGGCAGCCATCCTTTAAGTAGTTAATCCCTTCCTGAAAATACAGTAAGTTACATCCGCAATAGGAACCCACATACCTCGTTTAAGCATCCTCGGAAGCAGGGTGCTTCTCAGAGTCCCCCAGTGGGCTTGTTAAGACACAAATCACTGGACCCCAGTCCCAGAGTTTCTGATTTTTTAAAAAAAAAAAATTTAAATGTTTTATTTATTTCTGAGAGAGAGAGAGTGAGCGAGAGAGCAGGGGAGGGTCAGAGAGAGAGGGAGACACAGAATCTGAAACAGGCTCCAGGCTCTGAGCTGACTGTCAGCACAGAGTCCGATGTGGGGCTTGAACCCACGAACCATGAGATCATGACCTGAGCAGAAGCCGGACACTTAACCGACTGAGCCACTCAGGCGCCCCGCAGAGTTTTTGATTTAGTAGGTCTGGGTGGGACTGAGAATTGGCATTTCTAACAAGTTTCCAGAAGATGTGGATGCTCCTGGCCTGGGAACCTTACTTTGAGAGACTCTGTATTAAAGTTGTATTCAAGTATTGTGCTGCTACACAGAATCTTCACACCTTCAAAATGCTCCTACTCAAACATAGTAATATCAGAAACGCAGACCTGCTTCTGCCATGGTAAAAAGCGTTGGCGTAACAAAAAACCCCTGGGAGAGATTCCCCACCAAAGAAAAATTCTATCTAATGGAATTTCTTTTGAATGAACGGTAATAGGAATTAGCATTATCTAGGATGTTTGGTGATCAGCACTAAAATTTAGAAATCTCGGAGGAAGCCAGCCACAGCTTCCTGGAGAACAGCA